AAGAATTTCTGTTGGAATACGAAATATTTCCGGGAACAAAACTGTAGCGATCAAGTAATATAAGATCCAATTAGTTTATATGATTAACTAATTTCCCACATAAAGTATGAGTGGATTGGTGGATGGTGTTGGAGGCAATCGAAAAAAATGCAAGCTGCCAGCAGCCACTGAGGACAACATTTCAAGCAGCCGTGGCTGGCAAGCATTGAATTCCTTAAAGACCTATAAATCATGGCGATCAACTGACACCATCACCAGCCCATTCAGTGGAAGTGGAACTGATTGGGAGGAGATCCATTGGAGATCAAGGCGTTCGTTCTATGCTTCATGCCATCGAAATTCCCTTTTTTTGTGTGGCAAAATATGGGAGGCATAAAAAATGAATTATGCCCTTGTTAAGGCAAAGGCAGGGTCCATATTTTTTCCCCTCCATACAGAATGGCAGGGTCTGCCCCCCATATCATGACTCTCCCCGTAATTTAATTGAGAGACAAACGTTTTTACGTTGTGGAACATTACAAAAAAAAAAAAAAAAAAAACGACACACACTTGATTTACTCAACGACTGCCACAACGACGAACATGACGATGAAGAAATTATCATTTCTTTTGTTTATTAACAATTTGTGGAAAATTTAAGAGGCGAGGTTAGGTTATTATGACACTTTATGACCGTGTAAAAAGATTTATGACAGTTTAAGATATTTAAAAGAGAACATCTTTCCCTTTTCAAAATATAAAAAACACACATAAAACTTTTTTATGCCACACGCACACATACATTTGTGCATGTGTGTATGCCAGTTGTTTTTTGTGGCATTTTATAAAGGTGCCCGGTTCTAGTTGGGGCTCTTCACTACACATCAATTTCCAATAGTCATCAAGACGAATTTATTATGAAAAGAAATACTATTGATCGGAGTGTTTTGGGGGGTGGGTTAGTTAGTTCCATGCGGCAAAGAAATTATGCATTTTTTAATTGTTAAATAAGAAAAAACCCAATTTGATTTATTTGATGTTTAGACGAATATAGGGTAGGAGGTCGATCAATAAATGTCATTTTAAGGTAAATGCCTTAAATTTTATTTAATTAAATTGTTCTTTTAATTAAAAAAGAAAGTTTTTGTTTTCTTTTGATTTCGACTGCTGCACACCGCCAGTGATCGCTGAATATTTTAGATAAAATTAAGTTTATACCATTTATTTATTGATTTAGTCGATCAAATAAAACAGTAATGAGTTCGGCTGGGTCTAATTTTTTATATTCTACAACATGAAAATCTCTATATTTGATACATAATATAGGAGTGTACCAAAACATGAAGCTCAAGCAAGTTTGTCGTTGAATATAAAACACAAAATTAAAATCTAACGGCATTGCTATAAAAATTATACTTAGTTAGGCTCAAATGGCGTATTTCGTAATATATGATCTGTAACGCAAAATTCACATATGATAAAGTCTGTGGAATCTGCACTGCGCGAAGTGGTAGGCTACATTGAGAGGAACATGGAAAATTTAAATTTTACGCTGGCCGCCTTCTTAGATATAGAAACTTGAATTCGTGTAAATCCAACGAAGACGAAACTGTTCACTAGGAAGCATAAGCTCGGCGTTTTTGCTCCACCAACACTGGATGGAGTGCAACTTCGTCTATCTCCCGAAGCAAAGTACCTCGGCACAATCCTGGACTGTCAACTACGATGGAAAAGGAACATTGAGGAGCGGGCTAAGAGAGGGATGATTGCACTCTATGCATGCAAGAACTCCATTGGGAAAAGCTGGGGGCTAAAACCATCGACTATAAACTGGCTGTATAACACTGTGGTGAGGCCCATCTTGTTATATGGCTTTCTTGTTTGGTGGAACTGTCTGAGCATCAAATCGACATCCAGTAAATTAGACAACGTACAAAGAGCCGCCGCGATTTTAGTTACAGGAGCCAGAAGGAGTACGCCACAAGCAGCTCTGAACGCAATGCTGTACTTCAAGCCTCTGGGCCTCAGCATTAAGTGCCAGGCCGCGCTTGTCGCCCTAAGGCTGCATGAAGAAAAACTCTGGCGGAACTGTACCATTGGGCATGGTAGTATTCTGAATGAACCAGGTATGGCTTTGGACCAAAGCGCTAAATTAAGCGACTATATATCTCAAATCCTGAGTTTTGACGATGCAGATGTCGTCATTCCTAGTAGATACGACTGGAAACGAAGTAACCCTCCTCTGGACAGTCTGGCCCTCTATACAGACGGATCCAAGATGGAAGAAGGTACTGGGGCAGGCGTCTACTGTGAAAGGTTAGGCCTTGAGTTAACCCACAAGCTGGATTGCAACTGTAGTGTTTTCCAAGCTGAAATCTTCGCGATCTGGAAGGCAGCGGAATTGATAAAAAGTCTGGATGCAGAGGCGTTGAACCGGTGACTATTTTTGTGCAACGGGTGCAACGTCTACCAAAAGAACGCACTCACTGTTGAACCTGAGCAAAGCAGAAATTAGAGTGATGACAGGAGTCATTACTGGTCACTGCAACATCAGGGCTTTTACTAGTAAATGGGATGCTGATGCAATCGATTACTACAGACTCTGCGTTGACGAGGAGGAAACGGAGACAATTGAGCATCTCCTGTGTCATTGCCCAGCCCTGGCTTACAGGCGGCATAGACTAATGGGTGCTCATTTTCTACCGAGTCTCAGTTTCTTCTCAACAACCGAACATGCTCTAATCTACGACATGATTAGAAACATTAGGAACATACAACCTTGACATGTAACACATCTTCTGTCTGACTCCTAGAATCATCGACCTTCAATCCTGCACATCCCCAAAACTAACCTAACCCTTCTATGATATCAATTCGATTCGATGTAATTTGCAAGAATACCGAGCGAATTTATTAAACCTTTCACTATGAGAATAAAAAAAAATCAAAATAAAACTATATTTTGGATAAATATAAAATTTTTTTCTCGCAAGGAGGTAGTTAATTCGCTGAGAACCCAAAAAGCTGAATAACAGTCACATGGCTTAATGATATTGCAAAAAAGAAAAAAACAATAAAATAAAAACCAGGACTAACGGCCAGGAAGGTTTTGCTATGCATTTGGTGGGACTGGACCAGAAACGGTCAGAATTTGCCAATAGGAGAGTAGTCGTGTAAAACTGGGCGGAATTCTGAATCTCAAAACAACGAAATGCCTATGAAACTGGATTGCTTAATTAGAGCCACTTCGGTTAGAAATAGGGTAGGATCTTGCAATACAAAAAAAGAGCTACATAAATTCGCCCAGGACTCTTATATGGGGGCTATGCACATAAGCTTATTTAACAACGGAACCAAAACGAGTCTCAGAGCAAGGATCGGGTACAAGTGGAAAAAATATATCAATATTAATTTTTTTGTAATAATAGTAATAAACCTACCTAAAAATTTTTGAGCGACATTTTTATAGTGTGTTTGGAAGTTAAAAAATGTTGTTCTGCGGCAATAAGGTTACGGTTGAAGAAAATGAAGGCCACGCAAGGAGTCGAACTAGGAGGACAAAATGTTCTACAAACTTTATTTTGTTGCACAATGAAAATAGACAAAACCTGTAAAAACATGTAAATTTTCCTGTCAGGAGGTTTGTATTTTTAGAGAACCCGATATACAGCAATACTGGTGGGAAAGTGCAAAGTGCGGACAGGGCCTTTAAACTTTATATGGGGACCAAAGAAATAAAAATCAAGTGAGAATCCGAAATACCAAAAAATGAATGCAGAAGATTTATATGGGGACAATGAAAAAAAACCACACACTCACACAAAATCAATCGAGAGACCTTTTATCCTCGGAACACCAACAAAATTTCAGTTTCAGCCAAAATGGTTGGGAAAATTTCTTACGCAACGAAAATGTTTATATGGGTTTCTGAGCCCAGGTGGTAAAATATTGCTTCTTGACGAGCCCACCTTGGAGGAAATGGACCTAATCAGTGAAGATTATTTTTCGATGGATTACTCTATCCCTAGCTAAAACTGTTGATGTTCTGGTTTAACTTAACGTTATAATCCTTAAGATGGCGGGCATGATTGCCGATCACTGGAACATCCAATCTGAAAACGCCAATACAATTAGAAAGACTGTATTTCTGGTTCTGGTATGAACTAGGATTATATAAATGGCGGACCTAGATTTTTTTTTAATCTTCATTTTCGAGCAAAGACCAAGCGGGAAAATGGGGATGATCCTTATCGATTCGATATATCACAGTTTAGGCCCGAAATAACGTGTTAAAATTTGGAATTGATTAGATTAATAGTATTTGAATTAATGTGACCGCCAATTTTAAAAGAACTGCTTCGGAAAAATGGGTTTAAAGTTTGAGAAGCTCTCTTGCCGTCGCTTGAAGCTGACATAATAAATTGACTATATAAAATTTAATGATGATATATATTTGTTTTTAAACCGAGAATGGGTGTGGGTTCCACTTAAGCGACGTGAAATGCTTTAAAATAGCGAACTATGGCTGCACGATTCTCATAATTTTTATGCCATCCATGTTGTCATCAACTCGAAATACTCACCGTAGACCCAATACAGTACTTATATTCTTGTCCAAGTCGATTAGAGCTAAAATCATGACAGATGTTCGGTATTTTGGTTGAATTGGATGTAAGGGTATATAACATTACCTCGAAAACCTTGATATTTTCGGGGGGTTGGACACAAAAATTGGGAATCTCATTGGGTAGAATTACCAAAACTTATAAACAAATATATCCCTAATATCTATAATAATATTTTTAGCATTTTTAACCGAACTTAATATCAAATCTCCCTACCAAAAATATTAATATCTTTCCTCGTTTTGGTATAGCCCCAAAATAATGTTACCCAACATTTTTTGGTATTTTGTGGATTGCAGTATATTCGGGATCCTATATTTCAGAATCGTTCCAAAACCAATTTATTTATTTTTTTTTTCTTAATTGTTTAAATAAATATTATGTTTGTTTTCCTACCTGTAATTTAACCAATTCCGGATTATCATTGGCTAGCTTAGCCAATTCCTGATAGTTGGCCTTAGCCATGGCAACAATCCACTCTTTGGCCTTGGGATGTGCCAAAGTGACTTCTGGCAGTTCCTTTTCTTCGATGAGTTGCTGAAATCAAATAAAAGAGAAATGAAAAAAATAAAATCAAAATTTGAAAAGAATATAATTTAAATAAATCATTAAAGTAAAAGAAAAATCCCGAATACATTTTTATGTCTACACAAATCATTACTTTGGAACATAAGAATTTTCCCCAAAGCATTTCCCTGTACTTAGTTACAGTTCACACACATCTTTTTAATGGTTTTTTATTTTAATAATTTTAATTTATTAGGCCACCAAAGGTAAGAACATAGAATAAAACATTTATTTCTATCATAAATAACACACACAGCCAGACATATTCATACTGAGCACATTAACATACAAACACACACATTACCGTATAATTAAGTGCATATGTGTATATGAAATATTTGGAAAATCTCAAACTCGCTAATGAGATAGGAAGAAGTTTCAACCCTTGCAACGAAATTAAAAACGAAATAAAAAGATTTTCCGTGTTTTACCCTCTAAGCTTACATGGAAATTTGAAAGAAGTCTTTGCCGAAACATCTTTGTCGGCGAAACACGAAAATTGTGAACAAGTATGAATATTTACATCTTACAGTAATATTGTGTACATTGGTTAAATGAAATATGCCAGGAACCACGAAAATGTCTTTATATAGGGTATATAGGTGGAATGTGTATTATTCGTGCCCAAGTTTTGATTATTAATAGCTCCAGGTTAGGTAACAAATAAAAATGTTCACATTTTGAACCAAAACGAACACTACTCGCTTCCCATCATATGTTAATTTTTATACCCTCCACCATAATATGGAGGGTATATTAATTTTGTCATTCCGTTTGTAACTCATCGAAATATTCATTTCCGACCCTATAAAGTATATATATTCTTGATCGGGGTAAAATTCTAAGACGATCTAGCCATGTCCGTCCGTCCGTCTGTTGTAATCACGCTCTTCTGAAGGAATTGAGATAGGGTGCTGAAATTTTGCATAGGGTTGTCTTTTGTCTGCAGGCAGGTCAAGTTCGAAGATGGGATATATCGGTCCACGTTTAGGCATAGCTTCCATATAAAGGTACCCGCCAAATTTCGGTATTTTGGCGTTCTTGAGCGCGTTTTTCAGCCGAAATCGCTGAAATTTGGTACATTGGGTTCTTATTGGATACTATATGTCTCCACAAAAAATTATAAGTATAGGTCCATATTTTCTGATAGCCCCCATATAACGGTACCTCCTAATTATCTGTATTTTGGGGGTTTTGGTCGTATTTTTCCACCGAATTGGCTGTAATTTATTTTTTTGATTTCTTAATAGGTACCAAATCTCTTTACAAAAAATTATGTAAATAGGCCCATTTTTCGGGTAGCCCCCATATAAGGGTACCCCCCAATTTTCGGTATTTTGGGGTTCTTGAGCGCGTTTTTCAGCCGAATTCGCTGAAATTTGCTACATTCGGTTCTTATTTGGTCCTAAATGTCTCCACAAAAAATTATAAATATAGGTCCACTTTTTCTGGTAGCCCCATATAACGGTACCTCCCAATTTTCAGTATTTTGGGGGTTTTGATCGTATTTTTCCGCCGAATTAGCTGTAATTTAGTATTTTGAGTACCAAATCTCTCCACAAAAAATTATGAATATAGGTCCATTTTTTCGGATAGCCCCCATATAAGGGTACCCCCACTTTTCGGTATTTTGGGGTTCTTGAGCGCGTTTTTCAACCGAATTTGCTGCAATTTGGTATTTTGTAGTCGTATATGTTAACAAATCTCTCTACCAAAAATTATTAATAATAACCCCCTTTTTATACCCTCCACCATAGTATGGAGGGTATATTATTTTTTTATATTAAAATAGTAATCTGATTTGTTCCGCGTTTTGAGTTTGGTTCTAAGACTCTTTTGTAATCATTTCACCTACGGAGGATAGCGAGATAAAAAATTAGAACGTAAGGTTCGATAATGAACTATAGCCGCATTTAGACCTAGCCCCTGTGTGGAGGTTTCAGAAAGTGTGGACCGATAATCCCTATCTTCGAATTTGAATTGTCAATTAAAAATTTCTGAAATTTGTATTATGTATTTGTATTATAGGTCCACTTTTTGGTATGTTCCCAATATTTTCATTTCTAGTACCTGTCAGTATATCTATGGTGGAGGGTATCCAAAGTTCGGCCCGGCCGAACTTAACGCTTTTTCACTTGTTTCTTTTCAAAATGTTGGTGGGAAATATGCCAAAAACAGTGCACCAATTGGACCCGTTCTCAGATAGAAGGTTTTCTTGCATTGAAATGATATGCATAAATGGTACAAAATCGGTTTTATTTTTTGAAAATTCGGTTCAAAATTATATTTATTTTCCAGTCTATGTTTTTATTAGTGTACGTAGATATACGTTTTCTGAGCAAGGGTCGCTTAAAAGTAGAAAACTAAAATCTTACGAGCGACTTATTTGTAGAATATTTGGATATCGAATTCGTTTGGTTGCGATGAAAATAAATATGAAAAACGTTTACTTCGTGAACCATAATTCAAAAACTTGACCTATGGCGATCCAAGGGAATTTTCCAACCCCCAAAATATTGTTACACAGTGTATGGTTCGGTACAACAATAACTAATGCTGATCGATAATCTCACGCTGATTTTCATCTAAATTGTGGCATCTGGGGCTTAGGAAATTTAGTAGTTGTTTTTAGAACCTTCTCAATTCTTACCGAAAACTAGTTTGAAAAACAAATAGCATTGAAATGATTGCCCTATCGAGAGATTATTAATGGCTTCTAATGACCGAAGTAAAATTATCTTGAAGTGGAATTCTGAAAATTGGAATTAAGATTACTGTTGATGCATAGGATGTGAAGGAAGTTTTGGAAACTCGTACTTATGTGTACTAAATGGTACAAAATTTGAAATCAAGTGAAGTGGTAATTTGGAACTATGTTTTTTATTGGATTGTTGAGATAGGTAGGTAGGTGTATATGGAAATTTATATTAATGTATACTAAATTTGGTATAATTTGGATTTGAGTAAACCTACCGAGCTCGAATCATAAAATGTGAAATTGAGTTTGGAAATAAGTACTACAAAGTAAGTAGTATAGAGCTAGATCTCTGTTTCGTCTAAAATTGATGTGAGATATGAAGGTATTTTTTGAAATACGTACAATAGGAAAACAAAGGTACTAAATGGTCGATGTAAATTGATTAGTTACGCCACATTCACTAACGAATTTCTATAAATGTGTAAATTTAATTTCAAGCAAATTGAATAACTGATTTGATCTACATTAAAATACAATTGGATAACCCTGTAATATATATTTTTGCTTGCAGTGCTGAGAACATTATAATTTGTAAACACGATACAGGCCACATTTATGGGCCAATCTCCAAGAAATTTTGCATTTTGGACGGGTTCTGGCCAAAGAAGAACCCTAATGTCTTTGGGGGATGAAATTGACCAAAAACTCTATTTTTTCTTGTTTTTCTGGTCGCTTTAAGATGCCACAATTATAGTCTGGACATTACGAAATTTTACAAGAGAAATGGTATTTGACCAATTAGCAATCATTGTTTTTTCATCAGAATCGGCCAATATTTGTTTGTGAAAAAAAATAATGGCGTAAATGTTTACTCCGGAAAAAAGATTTGGAAAATATGCCAGGCTTAGAAAGTGGAGCTGCTGACCTACAAAGGGTGTAAATACCGCGAAATATTGACAGGCTCAGAAAATTGGGTATCATAGGGTCGGCCCCGTCAGACTATTCTGCTCCACTCACTGGGTTTTGTTTTTTCTGGACGCACGAGGCACTATTATCATTTCAAAAAGTATATACCCTCATTATACCCTACACAACTATGTTGTCAGGGTATTATAGCTTTGTGCAGCCCCAAGAGTTTGTAACGCCGCGAAATATTGGTCCTAGACCCACCTTTAAGTATACCGATCGTCATATCTCGACTAGCTGAGTCGATCTAGACATGTGTGTCCGTCCGTCCGTCTGTCCATTATAATTTGTAAACACGATACAGGCCACAGTTATGGACCAATCTTCACAAAATTTTGCATGTAGGATGTGCTCTGCAAAATGAAGACCCCAATTGTTTTTGGTAAAAATCCTTTAATATCTTGGGGATGAAATGGACCAAATACTTATTTTTTATCGTTTTTTCTGGTCGCTCTAGTGGCCGCAATTATGACCCAAAGGGGATTGGGCCAAAGAATAAGCATGCCTGTTTTGATAAGGATCGGTCAATATTTAGCGGTTCAAATAGACCTTGTTTGTGAAAAATTGCAAAATTTTTATTCTGGGGCGTATATACTTGCTCCTGAAGGACATATACCTGAGAAGTTGATAGTATATCCAAGATGAGTTGTTGACCTTCAAATTGATACCAATTATGTGGCTGTATGTACTCTGATGTGGGAGTTATACGTAATTAGGTAAATGTGACTATGTGCTATTACTCCATTAGAGGACGGAAATGTTGCGCTGATCGCTCTGAAATTGTACATGAAGTTCCGATCATGGTCAAGGACGGCGCCTATAGTTTTTGGTGAAGTTGAGATTTCATTCAATGAACCGAAAACTTTAATATTGTCAGATTTTCTAGACGCTCTAGAGGCAATTATTATATGCAGAACATCACATATTTTACAAGGTGAAGGGGATCTGACCAAATACTTAGAGGGGCTTTTTAGATGGTGATCGGTCAATATTCCAAGGGTCAAATCAACCAAAATAAAATAAAACGGCAACCAAGATAAAGTAAAACGACAGAAAGTTTGCTTTTCGTGGTAGTTGTGTAGGGTATCATATGGTCGGCCCGTCCGACTATACTGATTACTCACTGGTTAGCCTTATGGATGTGGTCTCAGGTTTTGAATTTTTGTCGTTACAATTTCAAATTATTAATTATGTACATTTGTTCACATATTGTCAACCACTGTGTTAAAAAAAAACAAACCACTTCCTTCCTTTCTACCTTCTAATGAAAATGTATTTCCCCCGAAAAAAAAATAGGTGGTAATGG